TTTGTGAATATGAAACTTGTCTAATAGAATACACAAATTAACTATATATACTTTTTCCATGTTTTCTTTAGAGTCGTCAAACAATCCAAAGAATATAACTTTAAAAGAAAAGGAAAAGTCACTCATAATATAAGATTGAATAAAGATCAACAAATCTGACCAGATTCTCTCTGTGAAGGAGCACTGCCAGAACAAATGAATAGAGTCTTCCTCCGAAGAGTGACAGAATGAGCAGTTTAAATCAATGTCAGGCTTATATTTCTGAAGACAGACCTTAGTACACAGGTGTCAAACTCAATTCCAAAAGGGCCGCAGCTCTGCACAGTTTAGTACCAACCCTAATTAAACACACCTGATCAAACTAATTGAGTCCTTCAGGGTTGTTTGAAACCTACAGGTAAGTGTGTTGGAGCAGGGTTGGAACTAAACTGTGCAGGGCTTCTGCCCTCCTTGAATTGAGTTTGACACCCCTGCTTTAGTAGGATAACGTTTGTGAATTAATTTAAATGTTACTTCTTTTACTTTATTTGTAATCAGATACTTATGAGGCAAAGTCCATACTTTCTCCCATGGAATATTTTCAACAGTGTTGTTCCAATGTCGTTGCTTTTATAAAGAACACGGTTTAAATCGCTCCCTCCGGTCCTCAATCTGGCAACCTGCGCTTGCATTTGTTTTGATCCAGGAGTGCAATACCTAGTTCAACTACTGGGTGTCAAACTTACATACTCCACCTTATTGAAAACAATATTAATGTAAACAAAATATGAATGTACTTTTTTATAATAAAGTCAAAATTGCAAGATATAAACTTGAAATCTTCTCTGAAAAAAAAAGACTTTTGCTGCTTGTTTAAGCTACTTATTTAAAATGAGTTAACAAACAACTTTTGGGACAACTTCATTGTTTTACTGTATGTTCAATCCCCTAAATTTGTAAAAAAAAAATTATTCATTCATGTTTGTTCGGGCTAGTCCCTTTATTCATCTAGGATCACCACAGCGGAATGAACCACCAACTTATCCAGCATATGTTTTACACAGCAGATGCCCTTCTAGCTGCAACCCAGTGCTGGGAAACATCCATTCGCACACTCATACTTATGGCCAATTTAGATTATTAAATTCACCTATAGAGAATGTCTTTGGACTGTGGGGTAAATCGGAGCACTAGGAGTAAACCAACGCATGGGGAGAACATGCAAACTCCACACAGAAACGCCAACTGACCCAGCCAGGACTTGAACCAGCGACAATCTTACTGTCAGGCAACAGTGCTAACCACTGAGCCACCGTGACGCCTAAAAATGATTAAGTTAATATAACCCTCGATACACAAACGTATTATAAGCTTTTAATCATTGGACCAGATGCTCAGAAGTCTAAATTCCTCCAAAGAGAGAGAAGATACAACAACAGTGAATGACTCGGACACAGAGGTAAGAATAATAAAAGATTGTATTGTAAAATGTTCACAGAAATATTAAAAAAATAAAAATAAATAAAACAAATTCTAGGTTTTTTTTCACACTTATCTAATGACCTCAATCTTATTTACACTCTCTAATAACACTTCTCTTTCTTCACAGGGTTTTATGGCTGTATCACTAATAAGGTAAGTTAATATTATGTTATTTTTCTGTTTTTCTATTGTTAAGGGCTAATATTATATTTTGGTCATTATAACATTATAACAATAATATAATACTAATATACTAATAACAATACTATATTAAAGGTTTATAAGTGTAAGTTAATAATACAATATTAAAATGGTATCATTATTTAACATATAATCAAGATTTCCCTTCTTAAACCAATTAACTTCTCTCTATAAAGCTTCAAAAATTGCAACGAATGAACACTCTAAAGGAACAATGTACAAATAAAATAAAAATGAAAATAAAACATTCACTTAAAACATTTCATAATGTCCCTAAAGTCCAGTACAGGTTATGAATTTTCAAAAAGATTCTTTTGCAAAACAACTAGGTTGCAAATTCAGTTCCAGAGATCCAGGATGTTGCACTTGTGAGTGTGTTGTAAATTTACACTCCTACTATGACGCTGAATAGGTTTTACTTTGTATCTTTCCAACAGGTGTATCCAAAGAATCCACATAATGGGAGACTCGCCAGTCCAACTCCACAATTAGACACGCACCAATGGAAGTTGAGACAATCCAAATCCAGAAAAGAGTTCACACTTCAATTAATTCGAATCCAGAGCAGATCACATTCAGCAACTGACGTCAATAGAACATCTCACCGATGAAAAACCAGAAGAAGATGCACAAACGAACAAAACAAAGGAAAAAAAAAAAAAAAACTGGCCTTGAAAACACAAGGCCAAAGAAACCATTAGCATTTTACAGTGTATGCATTATCTCAGCTTAACACATTTCTAAATAAACAGCAACAGTAAATAACCATGTATCTGCTATGCTTCTCTCTGCTGAATTTCTGTGTTTTTCCTATTTCCATCTCCTATTTGCCATTTTCTTTTTACAAATGACAGCATTTTACTCTCTCACTTAAACTTTACACAATCACTTGTATAATACTCTGTATAATACTTTGTTTTTACTAGACCAAACAAATGGTAAATTAATGAAACACATTTTTTGACACTAGTTTAAATCATGTTATAATGAAAACAATAATAAATAATAAAAACACGAACTCTCCAAGGAAATCATTCAAAATCAAAGCGAAAAAAACAGGAAAACTCCAGGTGGCACTCGTGTGCAGATTTCACTCTCAAAGACAAATCTCGTTTTTTTCTTCTCTCAATCCTTCATTAAAAATATATGATTGAAATCATTTCAGCATCTTATTAATGGTCAATTTTCACAGTTAATACGCATTAAAAACCTTAAAAGATATAAATCTAATAGTTTTCTACTGTTATTAATATAACAACTTACATCTCTGCATTCCCTTGCGAACACTGAATCGCCATAGCAACGGTAAACACAAGCTAACAGACAAGAGAGATTTGTTATTGTTTGGAAAGCTGATCTGCTGCTATAGTGTAAGGCACGATGATGTGATGTCATTCTAAAGCACTATTCCCTTGAATGCTGTATAATACTCTATTATAAATTATTTATATAAGTAAATAATTTTTATGTATATTATTAAATTGAGTATTCTGCCAATGTTTTTTTCCGCATATTTCTATTTGCTGTATTGCTGTATAATACCCACTAGTAACCTGGGTTACACAAACTTAATAGATTTTTGTTGGGACAAGAAGAAATAATTGTGTGGAACCCAGTATTTTTTTACAGTGTTTAGAGATAAAACTGAATTCTGGAGATGTCCGAATAAAAGTAAAATGAGAAGTCACAATAACAAGCAGAATTTCTAGAAATTCTTGCTGAAATAAAGTCAAAATCAGTGTTAAGTGTTCAAAGGGGAAAGACGAGGCAAAATCACATCTGTCCTTTGATATTAAATGCCAAAAAATAGCATTACTTATCCCAGAATGGCTCCGATACAGCAAGTTAGTGAGAGGTTTAAAGGTTTTAGCACAATTTTCAATGTTTACATTTTTATTTGTTTTATTAAGCAACTAAATAAGCAACTTACAGTATAGTATACTGTGTATTAATTAAATTACATGAGTTCAAGTAATACAAATCACAATAACTGTTAGTTAAACTAAAGTTAGGATACAAACTGAAACCATAATATAAATAAATATCAATGAGACAATATAAGTAATGTAAATAAAGATTACCAAAAATAAATATAGTAACTGTTAATATAATATATGCATGACTATGAGGTTTCTCTACTGAAAGGAAAACTTTACAACCAATCCATCAAGCCAAAATCCCTAACCACCACTAATCTATATGTGCTAAAATTATCATAATGACAGTTGCATGAAGAAAAGCAGTTTTTGCAGATTTTTGTAGAAAACCTAAACATAAAATGTAAAATATCAATAAGAAAATAGCAGGATTTTATAATGTAGATTACCTAAAAATAAAATAAATATAGTAATCTAATAAATGTATGATGTTTCTCTATTAGACTGAAAAAACAACAACTTCACAATCAGTCAATCAAGCCAAAATCCCTAACATCCACTGATCTATATGTGCTAAAATTACAAAAATTACAGTTGCATGAAGGAAAACGGTTATATCAATAAGAAAATAGCAGAAATTTACAATGTAGATTACCTAAAAATAAAATAAATATAGTAATTTAATAAATGTATGATGTTTCTCTACATTAGACTGAAAAAACAACAACTTTACAACTAATCAGGCAAGCCAAAATACCTAAAATCCACTGATCTATATGTGCTAAAATTACAAAAATGACAGCTGCATGAAAAAAAACAGTTATATCAATAAAACAATAGCAGGAATATATAATGTAGATTACCTAAAAATAAAATAAATATAGTAATCTAATAAATGCATGACCTTTCTCTACATTAGACTGAAAAAAACAACAACTTCACAACCAATCCATCAAGCCAAAATCCCAAACATCCACTTATCTATATGTGCTAAAATTACAAAAATAACAGTTGCATGAAGAAAAAAAGTTATATCAATAAAACAATATCAGGAATATATAATATAGATTACCTAAAAATAAATACAATAATCTAAGAAATGTGTGACCTCTTTCTACATTAGACTAAAAAAAAACCCAATCCATTAAGCCAAAATTCCTAAAATCCACTGATCTACGTGAGCTAAAATGTTAAAAATGAAAGATGCATGCTGAAAAACAGTTATATTAACAAGACAATATGTAGTAATATATAATGTAGATGACCTAAAATAAAAAGAAATATAGTAAACTAATAAATGCAAGACCTTTTTCTACATTAGACAGAAAAAACATTACAACCAATCCATCAAGTCAAAATACATAAAGCCACTGGTCATGTGCTGTAAAGTATTTTGTAGAACACACGTTCTTTTTTAGAACGCGCATTCTGTCTGCTTTCAAAACAGACTCCATGCGCGTGTACATTGGCCACGCCTTCTCATCAGCTGACGGCGCGCGTGACACCCTGAACTCTCGGACTTCCTACTGAACACGGGCTGCTCGTACCAAATAAAAGTATGTGAATTAACGGTAAGTGTTTATGAAACTACAACCGGCGGTCATATGCTAGTCATGTTCTGGTGTCCGTGAGAGAAATGCATGAATGAAGAGCTCGGACGGCTCTTCCGGTGTATTTGTTTACCATCTGATGTGACAATAATCTTAACTGTAAGCAAAAGCAGCGTGTTGTTTTTAAAAGCTATATATTTTTGTGCTAAAATACGAAATGTATAACAGTAACAATAAGTTATGTTAAATCCGATTGTCGATATAAATAGTTGGTTTAATTGGACAGGAAACCATGTTTGACAGGACAAAGTTAAATAATGTGTCATAAAAAGACATAAAATGTGTTCAAAAGGGCAGTGTTTGTATTTTATGGAGGTCAAGTGAGTTCCTATTTAAATTATACGTATGTTAATGTATATCTTAAGGTAAGTGCACATCATTAAAATAGCTTTTAATCGTGTCAGATGTAAACTATATTATAAAAGTCTTTGGATAGTTTGCATTTATAGGCTACACATTTGTTTTTTACCCAAATATTTGCATATGTGTTTAACCCTTGTGTATTGTTTAAATTAATTGTTTAATTGTTTGTGCTTTCTTGATTGTTTGTGGTTTTCCCTGTTGGGAAGAGGTTTGATTTGTAATTTTTACTCTCTCTGTTGATCATCAGTTGGCACCATTAACCCTTTAGATAGGACTGTGCAAAAAAAAAAGTTTCTGGCTTTCATATGGAGTTCTATGGAGTAAAACAGCAGATTAATAGAGGTAAAGTTGGTTTTACATTCACACATTTGTTCATTTTTTTTTTTTTTTTTTAATTAGAATATGCAAAAATCATACAAATACAAGAAAACGTCAACAAATAACAAATACAAACCAACGAAACAAAAACAACAACAAAACAAAAACAACAACAATATAGTCATGTACTGGTATGTGCGTGAGTGTGTGTGTGTGAGTATGTGTATGCATGTAAAGGTAACTTGGTGGACAGGTCAGAGTACATACATAAGGAACAATAACAGTCAATAAATGAAGCAAGTGTCACAGATATAGATAAAACATATAGAAAGAAACCAGTCAGAGGTAGGGAGTAACAACAATGCTTATTAATGTATGATAGTAAAAATTAGAGTAAAAAGAAAGAAAGGACAACAGTAATAACTGACAACAATAATAATAAATCACAAGTGCTACACAAACTACTACTACAAAAAGTTACTTATATTACAACTACTACTGCTTCTACTACAGCCACAACCACGACTACTACTACTACAATGTCTACTAACACTGATACTACTACAACGACTACCACTACTGATACTACTATAGCGTTTGCTACAACTAATACAACAACGTCTACTGCTACTACTACTACTACTACTACTACTACTATTACCACTACTACTACTACTACAATCACTTCTACTACATCTACATCAACAACATCTACTACTGATATTACTACACCAACAACGACTACTACTACTACTGTAACTACCACACCATTACTACTTCTGCTACTACTTACATGAACTACTACTTCAAAAATCTCCGTAACAATTACTCAATAACAATCGATACTATTACACTGTCTACTACTTCAACTACAACTACTACTACTACTACTACAACTGCAACCTTAATAATGATAATGGTATAAATACTTGTAATAATGATAATGGAAAGATAACAGGGCAAGTCAGAACAGTAATAATAATAATAATAATAATAATGATTTCAAAAAATAAAAGTAATACCATTTATGACAAAGGTGTCGAGGAGAGGGGAGGATGGGAAAATCAGGGAGAGGACAAGTAATAATAATAATAAATAATAATAATAATAACAAATAATAATAGTAGTAAGTAGTAAGTTTGAAGGGGAGATAGAGGAAAAGAGAAAATAAACTAATGATAATAAACAAAAATTAATAAAATATTTATAATAAAAATAAATAAATAAGATAAAATAAAAAATTTGTTCATTTAACTGTGTCTATATTGTTTACCATGCTTATTTAAATATTCAATCTGAATTAGCATGTAAGTATGACTTCAAAACAACATTAACACTATCTAATAGACTGTAAACAATGCTGTACTATGATAGTCATTAACTGCTAATATGATTTACCCTTTTTAGTATTTGCAATTAATGCTTTTCTGAAATTATATTATTAAGGAGAATGTCTGAATATCCTAATATAAAACCAACTCTATAGCAGATTATAGTCCGCGTGCATCAATACACTTACTATGTTCTGAGTGCTGAGCTGCTTATTTTGATTTTCACAGACGTATCAACGTAAGTGTGCAAAGGTCACACAAACACATAGTATACTCTGCATGACTCCATAAAAAAGCTAAAACTAAGATTTCCCCCCCCCACTGAAACTGATGATCAACAGTAAAAGCTACAAATTTTATTCTGAAATAAGTCAGTTCTTTTTCTAAAATATGAAAGCTGAGACCCTCAATTGATTTCTTACCACTGAAAATGAGTAATTTAACAGACTCTTTGAGCCTCAATGAAGTATCTCTTGAAATGAATCATATGAAGAACTAAGTTTAAGATACAAAAGAAACGTTTCTCGAGAAGCATAATCTGAAAGATTATTAAATCTTCTTTAATATTGTCGTATTGATATTGTTGTATTTAGCTATTATTATATCATTTTCAATATTAATATACAGTTGAAGGCAGAATTATTAACCCCCTGTTTATTTTTAGATTTTTAATAAAATAGTTTTAATAACTCGTCTCTAAAAACTGATTTATTTTATCTTTGTCATGATGACAGTTCAGAATATTTGACTAGATATTTTTCAAGACACTATATATTTCTATACAGCTTAAAGTGACATTTAAAGGATTAATTAGGTTAATTAGGTTAATTAGGCAGGTTAAGGTAATTGGGCAAGTTATGGTATGACGATGGTTTGTTCTGTAGACTATCGAAAAAAATATATGGCTTAAAGGGGCTAATAACTTTGATCTTAAAAAAGTTTTTTAAAAATTTAAAGCTTCTTTTATTCTTGCTAAAAAAATAAATAAATAAATAAGACTTTCTCCAGAAGAAAAAAATATTATCAGACATACTGTGAAAATTT